CAATTAATTTTTATTTTTTTTTTTAATATTTTTACATTCTACTATCCAATTTTTTATTGTTTGTGAATGTTAACTTGTGCCTGATCTTACTTAAGGCTTAAAATATGCATAATGCACATTTATGACTGCTGGGTTATGCCCAAAACAATTCTTACATCTACTAACTGATTAAACTTTTTTAAGTTTTAAATGGAAACTTTCATTTAGAAACTTCAAAGAGGGCCAATAAGGCACTGGATCGCTCACCTGAAATAGATTGCTAAAAAAGGTCATTCTGTAGGTTACATTGGGTTTGGTATTTGTTATCAAAGCTCATAATTCTTGAAAATATTTGTAGATATCTGCTACTATTAATGCTTCATGGCAAATATCTAAGCTCTAGGCATTGCAGTTTCACAAAAGAAGACATATAAAGAAGCATCAGCATACTCTTTTTTTCTCTATCAACTGCTTTTATATTTGTAAATACCTTTGAATTTTTCTTTACTTTTTCTCTTTAAAGAGTAAAATCATAAGTTATATATTAAATGGTTAATGGTCGAATAGCTTTGTTAAAGGAGAAGACAACCATGAGCTAAATTGCAGCTATCAGTCCAATTCATTTCTGCTTTAATGAGTAAATTATCTACATGTATAATATCTTGAATAAATGTGTAGATCAAAAGAGGACATAAATGCTTTTTAAAGTGATCCCATGCACATTATTTATATGAATTTTGTGAAGGACAACAAGGTAATGCTACATGTAAAATATCTAAACTCTTGGCATTGTTCTTTCAAAGGCCAAGATTTTTAAGACATTTTTACTAATCAAGTCTATGTTAACTAAATGTTACCCAGAGTAGGCCCATTTTTGACTCCAGGGGGTTGACTTATATAGCTTTTGTAGATGTCCACATGCTACATGCCTAAAATCTCATGTTTGGGCATTGTTTTCCTATACAAGTCTATATAAACAAGATATGTTTGTAAAACATGTATGCCCCCTATCAGCAGCCAATTAGTCATGTGATAAGGTTATTATGCATGACTTCTGACCCAGTGATCAAACAATTAATAAGGGTTATCAAGTATCTACTGGTCATGACCTTAACCTTTGACCCCTTGACCCAAAACTCAATAGGGGTCATCTGCTGGTCACGACCAATCATCATACAAAGTTTGATGTTCTTAGGCCTAAGCGTTTTTAGTTAATTGATCAGAAACCGTTTTTACCTTCAAGTTCAATGTGACCTTGACCTTTGACCCCTTGACCCCAAAATCAATAGGTCATCTGCTGGTCATGACCAATCACCATACCAAGTTTGAAGTTTCCTAGGCCTAAAAGTTCTTTAGTTATTGATCAGAAAACTGTTTAACATACAAGGTCAATGTGAACTTGACCTTTGACCCCAAAATCAACAGGGGTCATCTGCTGGTCATGACCAATCACCATGCCAAGTTTGAAGTTCCTAGGCCGAAGCGTTCTTAAGTTATTGATTTGAAAGCATTTTTACCTACAAGGTCAATGTGACCTTGACCTTTGACCCCTTAACCCAAATATCAATAGGGGTCATCTGCTGGTCATGACCAATCACCATACCAAGTTTGAAGTTCCTAGGCCTAAGGGTTCTTTTGTTATTGATCAGAAACCGTTTTTACACAAGAGGTCAATTGTGACCTTGACCTTTGACCCCTTGACCCCAAAATCAATAGGGGTCATCTACTGATCATGACCAATCACCATACCAAGTTTGAAGTTCCTAGGCCTTAAAGTTCTTTAGTTATTGATCGGAAACCGTTTTTGCTTACAAGGTCAATGTGACCTTGACCTTTGACCCCTTGACCCAAAATCAATAGGGATCATCTACTGATCATCAAGACCAATCACCATACCAAGTTTGAAGTTCCTGGCCTTAAGGTGCTTTAGTTATTGATCGGAAACCATTTTTTGCTTACAAGGTCAATGTGACCTTGACCTTTGACCCTTGACCCCAAAATCAATAGGGGTCATCTACTGGTCATGACCAATCACCATACCAAGTTTGAAGTTCCTAGGCCTTAAGGTTCTTGAGTTATTGATCGGAAATCGTTTTTGCTTACAAGGTCAATGTGACCTTGACCTTTGACCCCTTGACCCCAAAATCAATAAGGGTCATCTACTGGTCATGACCAATCACCATACCAAGTTTGAAGTTCCTAGGCCTTAAGGTTCTTTAGTTATTGATCGGAAAGCGTTTTTGCTTACAAGGTCAATGTGACCTTGACCTTTGACCCCTTGACCCCAAAATCAATAGGGGTCATCTACTGGTCATGACCAATCACCATACCAAGTTTGAAGTTCCTAGGCCAAAGTGTTCTTTAGTTATCACTCGGAAACCATTTGGTCTACGGACCGACGGACCGACAAGTGCAAAGCAATATACCCCCTTTTCTTCGAAATGGGGGCATAATTAAGTCGCCCAAAGGCATTCTTTATATAACTTTTATAGGACATTGTTGTTTCACAAAAGACTAATATATATTTTCCAATATAAGTCTATGTTAATAGGGCACCCAAAGAGAACACTTTATATAATTTTTGTAGAGGACCTCATTAAAGATCTGAGCATCAGGGTTTCTGAGAAGCAGATTTTTGAAGATTTCATTTTTAAAGTCTATTTTTATCTCCTGTGACTAATGAGTTTGAAACAATTTATATAACTCTTGTACATGATCATTCCTGTGAAGCTAGGTCTCAAAATCCATCACTAAGTTTAGGAAGAGATGTTTTCAAGAAATTGTGGACAATGACAGACAAAAGACACAATGCCATCACAAAAGTTCACCTGGTGGCGCTCAGGTGACCTAAAAGACACTTTTTTTAATTTGGGAAATGACCAAATTTTAGCTATCATATCATAGCTATTTAGCTAAAATAAATTTTATCTTATCAAATTTTTATAAGAAATGCATCAGTTGTGAAATGCCTCAAGGGCACTCAATTACATTCCACTCTTAAATGAATGACTTTTTAAAGCCAAGGGCCATTTAAGGCCCTACACAAAATTTTAGGAACTTTTCAAAGTCTGAACTAACCATGTCAGCACATCATTTCAAGCACAACAACCAGCCTCTCTTGTGGGCAATGTTGATCAAATAATACAATTTTCTTACCTCGTCTCCATTGCCTGTACTTTCTCTAGGTCGTTTTTTCTTCTTTGGTTTATCTGTTTTATCTGATGGTGGGCTGTCTATACTGTTGTTTAACTATAAGCAGAAAAACAACAACAATATTACTGTTATTATCTCATTAAGTAATAAGGATGTTTTCAGGAGTCTTCATATGTTTTCATAACTCAAAAAAAACAAAAACAACAAGGATGGTGACCCCAATTTTTTTCAAGCTTAAAATGTTTCTGTTATCATATTCTTACATTTTTGTTGTAATGTATCACCTGATAAAGCTAACAAGAGGGCCATGATGGCCAAAAGTCGCTCACCTGTATATAGGCCCCTGGAGCGGGGCCAGTTTTAACCCCAGGGCTTTTATTTGAACAAACTTGGTTGTATATGTATGCATGTGTGTATATATATATATATATATATATATATATATATATATATATATATATATATATATATATATATATATATGTATATATATATATATATAATATACATTTATATATATATATATATATATATATATATATATATATATATATATATATATATATATAAATATTAAATATATATGTGTATATATATATAATATGTATATATCTAAAAAAAAAAAAAGTCAAGGTAATGAATGACCCCCGGGGCGGGGCCAATTTTGACCCCAGGGCTTTTTTATTTGAACAAACTTGGTAGACACCCATGAGAACATGTTTCATGCTAAATATCTTAGCTCTAGCTCTTTGAGTTCTTTAAAAGAAGATTTTTTAAGTTTTTACTATATGCACATAGGGAAAATCAATGACCCCCGGGGGCGGGGCCAATTTTGACCCTAGGGCTTTTATTTGAACAAACTTTGTAGACACTCATTAGAAGATGTTTCATGCTAAATATCTTAGCTCTAGCTCTTTAAGGTTCTTTAAAAGAAGATTTTTTAAGTTTTAACTATATGCATATAGGGAAAATCAAAGACACCCTGGGGCGGGGCCAATTTTGACCCTAGGGCTTTTATTTGAACAAACTTGGTAGACACTCACTAGAAGATGTTTCATGCTTTATATCTAAACACTAGCTATCTGGGTTTTTTCAAAGAAGATTTTTAAGTTTTTGCTATACACAGTCATATAAGGAAAATCAATGACCCCCGGGGCGGGGCCAATTTTGACCCTAGGGCTTTGATTTGAACAAACTTTGTAGACACTCACTAGAAGATGTTTCATGCTTAATAGCTAAACTCCAGCTATTTGGGTTTTTTTAAAGAAGATTTTTTAAGTTTTTGCTATACACATATAAGGAAAATCAATGACCCCGGGGCGGAGCCAATTTTGACCCCAGGGCTTTTATTTGAACAAACTTGGTAGACACCCATTAGAACATGTTTCATGCTAAATATCTTAGCTCTAGCTCTTTGAGTTCTTTAAAAGAAGATTTTTTAAGTTTTTACTATATGCATATAGGGAAAATCAATGACCCCCTGGGGCGGGGCCAATTTTGACCCTAGGGCTTTGATTTGAACAAACTTGGTAGGCACTCATTAGAAGATGTTTCATGCCAAATATCTAAGCTCTAGCTCTTATGGTTTTTTAGAAGAAGATTTTTTAAGTTTTTCTTATTGGTTGCCATGGCAACCAGAGTTTTTAATGGAATTTAAATTTTTGAACAACTTTGAAAGGGGTCCACCTAAGGATCATTTCTGTAAAGTTTGGTTGCAATTGGCCATGTAGTTTAGGAGGAGATGTTGTTTGAAAAGTTTGACGCCATTTTTTGAAGGACGCACGACGGACGCAGAGTGATGACAAAAGCTCACCTTTGAGCACTTCGTGCTCAGGTGAGCTAATAAGCGAAACATGTATTGATATTTAAAATTGTGTTGGTTTTTGATCTTTTTGTCCTATCATATTCTAACAACATGCCAAGTTTACTAAAATTCTATTGAACACTTAATTTTGCCTGTATGTCTATATGAAAACTTTGGTGTTTAAATGAGCTCCCAATCAGATAAAAAATAAAGTCTAGAAACATGAAATTTGAAATTCTTAAAATATTTTAAAAACCCCAAGCTTACTCTGGACATCTCGAAATTTAAACTAAGTAAAGTCAATCACACAAAAACAAGTACTTTGGAATAATAAAACAAAGACTATGACTATGAGAGTGTGACATTTAAAATGCTTCAAAAATAAACTGTTCAAATATTAACCAATACTTCACAAATGATTAATGTTTCATTTTATTTTCTGATAAAGAGCTTCTTTAAGAAATGGCGAAATAAAGGAATAGGAAAAAATACAAATGTTAACTTCTCAAATAAACATTTGTTCCTTTTCTCTGCCCAAACCTGATAAAAGATAACATGCAAGTAGAAGTATATCCATAGGTGGCTAGGACTCGTTACCCTAAGCATTTTTACATACAGTACATGTTTGATAAACTATTCTTTAAGAAACAGTTATGTTTTTTTTGCAGATATTATAAAATTTGCTTTGATACCTTTAACTGCTTTCTTTCTTACTTACTGAGATTTTGGAACAGAACTAGTGTTTCTTCACGGAAAGGATTGCATTAAAGACACCACATAACATATTAGTGTTTGATGTACATACATTAGGCCATAGAAATTAATCTTTAGACTCTCATCCAGGTTTCAAGAAATAATTGGGGCGGGTGGGTGGAATTTATAATTTATTTTATCCATCACTTTTAAGACCTGAAAAAAAAAGAAATGTATGAATAAACAAAAGTTTTTAAATCTATATTGATGAACGTCGCATCATTTCCACCCAGATTTTAATCAAAACTAAACCCAAACCAATCACAAACAGTTTTCTTGTTTACTGCAACATATATTTCACATATGACGAACATTTTGACAATTTTACTGATTGAAAACGGACGTATTTAAAATCTTGATCACTAGACGCTGTAAACCTCAGTCTGATTTTTATGCGTTCGTCCCGTGAATATTCGACCACGATTTTCGGACGAATTTTCTTCAACAGACGTCTGCGAAATGAACAATTTTTTTTTATGAAAATAAATTATTTTGGAGCGATAGATTTTGATACGGGCGGGCGAGGATGAGAGTCTAAAAAATTTATTTTCTGTGGCCTTAGTTCTATCTTCACAAACCTTATGCATTTGGGTGAACAGCCAATTTAGTAAATGCAAAGAAGAGAACAGGTAATTAGATTAGCCAAAGCAAATTACCTACATTTTAACCCCAAAATTAGTTCAAATAACTAACACAAAGAAGTGAATTCCAACCATTATTGTCTGTTAATTTCAGTAACATTTATTCCTGACATGAACTCGGATATTCCCAAACAGGCTTTTTCTATTATAACTGCAAATTGTTAAAAAAAAAGTTTCAGAAAATGAAATTAATGAACTATAATGAAGCAAATATGCTATAAAACTTGTGTTTGTCTTCTTTTTCAAAGTATCGGTCACAATCAAAAATTTTACTTATAGATTGAAAACTTGTTCACACATAACCGTGCTGCTTTTACGACTCTGTAAAAATGGTATTGCATGACCAATCACTAATCACTTATCTTGATGTGACATCAATTGTGTTATACAAAACAAAGCATAAAGGCACGCTAAATGTTAGTGTAACAAAATAGATGCATCAATGAAAAATGTCACTTTTCCATTTTAAACAGTCTTTATTTTGGGTATGTGATAAAATAGAATACTTTATTTGTGTACTTAATTTATTCAATATCTTTTTATATTTAATGATTGCATCAAGAAATTTAAGTTTCTCCAAACCTGACTCCCAACAAACCATCGCATTTTATTAATTTCATCATCAATTATCATACCATCTCAAAACACACGTACATTGAAATATTACACTGATGGAACACTATAGTCAAAACTTACTGAATCAAAACTATGATGCAGAATGTTTATATGCATGTGCAAATATTGTTATGTGCATATGTGTACAATTACAATATTCATTTAACAACAACATCGAAACTAATTTTTTCCAAAGTTAATATAGAGAAAGTTTTACAACATGAAAAGCATCAATACTTAAAGCAAACTGAATAATTCAAGTTTACAAGTTACATTAATCTGAATATTTTTGTAACTTACAGGGGAAATTGACAAAATAGAAAAAGAGATGTACAACAAACATAAAAACATCATAATCTGTTTTGTATAATTTTCAGTAAAAGTGTCAGCTTATGTCTATATTTAACAAGCAATTATCATAGTATTGCAAGCAATCCATAAGTCCCCTACCGGTTAGAACCCCATCAACATTCTGAAGGGCCATTGGCCATTCACTTATGTTTCAATTTTTCTCTATTTTAAGTAAACTTGTTGGAAAAGTTCTTTAAAAGTGATCACAGGAAACAGTTTTTATGAACAGACAGACAGACGGACTGAAGGACACTCTAAAGTTAATATTTGAAACATCCCTGTTACCAAAATATAACATTTTAAAAGCAGAATTCTTAAAGAGGAGATAACTCTTGAATTAAAGATGCAATTTCATAAAAATTTTCAGCTCTTTTTGACTAATCACAAATATTGTTATATTTGCCATGTTTTAAGCCTATTTGTTGCCAAGGCAACTGATATTTTTTCAAAATAGGAAGAACAGATAAGACATGCATAATCTCAACACTGCTATCTACCCATATGTCAAGTTTCATAAAAATATTTCCAGTACTTTTTGAGTTATCACTGGATTCAGTTTATGTGTAAAATTTGCCATATTTTCAGTCTATGTGTTGCCATAGCAACCAGAATTTTCAACATAGGAAGAAAAGAAAAAGACGTACATAATCTCAAGATTGCCATCTACCCATATGTCAAGTTTCATAAAAATATTTCCAGTACTTTTTGCTTTATCACTGGATCCAGTTCATGTGTAAAATTTGCCATATTTTCAGCCTATTTGTTGTCATAGCAACCAGAATTTTCAACATAGGAAGAAAAGAAAAAGACGTGCATAATTCCAAGACTGCCATCTACCCATATGTCAAGTTTCATAAAAATATTTTCAGTACTTTTTGCTTTATCACTGGATCCAGTTTATGTGTAAAATTTGCCATATTTTCAGCCTATTTGTTGCCATAGCAACCAGAATTTTCAACATAGGAAGAAAAGAAAAAGACGTGCATAATTCCAAGACTGCCATCTACCCATATGTCAAGTTTCATAAAAATATTTCAAGTACTTTTTGCGTTATCACTGGATCCACTTTATGTGTAAAATTTGCCATATTTTAGCCTATTTGTTGCCATAGCAACCAGAATTTTCAACATAGGAAGAAAAGAAAAAGACGTGCATAATCTCCATACTGCCATCAATCCATATACCAAGTTTCATAAAAATATTTTCAGTACTTTTCAAGTTATCGCGGGATCCAGTTTTGTGGACGGACGGACTGACGGACGGACAGACAGACGGACGGACAGACGGACGGAGGGTAAACCTAAAGTCCCCTCCGGTAAACCGGTAGGGGACTAAAAAGAAAACAATAAGTATTCTCATAAAACCTTTATGTTTAATGGTTGCCTTACATTGCAACAGTACACCATTGAACGGTTTACAAAAATTGTAAGGTCACAGTCTGACAAGCAGCCCATAACATGTTACGGCACATAACTGATCAAGGGAGGTAATTATACATAAAACTGACATCTATACTTGTCATCCCAGACAATCAAGTCAGACCTATGGATATATTTTAGTCAATCTTACATTTAAAACACGAGCTATCAGTAGGACAGCGTGCTTGACAATTTTCAGTGCTTGATGGTTAAACTAGAGCCTGGATAGGGTATAATTTTCTAAGTTTGAAAAAGAGCCATAATTCTGTAAACAAATATATGTTGGAGTTATAGGCCTTGGACAGTTATCTTATATTAAGCTCTCAAGTAAGTGTTTAAAATTTCAACTCATTTCTTTCAGTGGTTTTGAAGATACCATCTTGCATAAAAAAGTTTAACCGAAAAGTGACTCCAACACTGAAGCCAAAGTGAGTATAACAGCTCCCAGTCAACCTAAAAGCTATCCTAATTTAAGTGTTCCTTTACCTGTTAGTTTCAGTTATTACAGTGGGAATGAAGCTTCAGTAAAACACAGTTTAGTTGATTGTTCAGTCTGTTTTTTTCCCTGCAGATGTATACAGTGATACAATTTGTTTTTGACATATATACATTACATGTGCCAAACCATTAGCTGTAAACCATAGAAAGAAACATCGACTGTCAGAAAATACCTTGATAAATTTCAAATTGAATCTTACTTACACTGGTAGTAGGACTAAGAGTTTAGCGGTACAGACTTTTTAAAACATACCCCCAAAATTGCAATGGTGTTAGTAGCATTAATCGTAGGACAGCAACGCTCCACTATTCTTAGTGCTTGATAGTAAAACATTATACCTCAAAATCAACCACATATTTAAAACAATACTGGCATAACCCACTGAAGTTACATAAAATATGTGCCATTGTGCCCTCGGCATACAGGTAATCATATATGTCATGATTAAAGCTTTCATGGGTCTAAAAAAGTGTTTACTTTCATTTCCTCATACTGTTCATAACAAATTTTACAGTGCATATATACAAGTTTTTTCTTATTTAATAGAAAAATACAAAGTTGGGTTTTAAATTTTCAATACAGTGTAACATGTTGATATAAGTAAAATATGTATTTTAAAGGTATTCAAGGATTTTTACTACCAACGTTCATAAACAACAAACTATTTTTGAACATTTTTTTCACTTTTGACAAAAATACAGCTTATGTAATTTAAGAACTCATTCATACTTTGATCAAACTTTTGTTATTTAGAAATTTGGTATCAAGGACCAAAAAGCTTTTGCTACTTTAAATCTTCTGCTTGAATTATCACAAAGCTATTATCATAAAACAACTTCCGCACTTATAACAATATAAATCATGTTTAAGACCTTCTCGTTACATAATCATTCAGCATAAAGTTGTTATGAGTTAACTTGCATTTTCATAATTACAAAGCTGTCCTTATGTTTAGGTCACAACTGCACAAATCTCTCCAAATACCACTTATATTGTTACAAGGCTATAAAGACTTTCCTATTCAAAACATATATTTACAGGTTTTCAGGTTTTAAATTTGTGGATATGAAAAGAAGAAAAAAATGCATAATTTGTTCACCATGAATGATACGGATGGCCCTTTCCCCTTACATAATTACTACAGACAAAGGCATGAAAAACCAAGAAAATGTATGTTTCTTTCACAAATCCCTCAGGCCAGTCAACATAAATGTTGTCGTTTTTGTTTAAAAAATTATTTTCATTCAAAAGCCCATCTCTTGATCTGTTAGACAAGATTGAGCAAAATATGATAACAAAGGCATTCTGCAGAAACTACTAGTATTCTTTTGTTCATTACGACCAACAGGTTTTATAAGTGACTCTAAAAAATTTTATTTGAACTTTTTGCCCCCCCCCCCCCCAAATGCAATGGTGTTAGTAGCATTAACAAAATTGCCAACAATAAGATCTGGATTTAATAGCTCATTAACAAGGGCCACCTCTGATTTCATTGCCAAAAGGTCACGCAAAATTGTTTTCTTATATACAGTAGCTGTTTAAAGTAACAAAGAATGTGCAGAAAACAACAGAATGATGATGCCTTTAAATTGCTAAGAACTATTTTTTCATGCTAAAAGAAGTAGTCCTTGCTTAAGATTTCTTACGAATGAAGCTGAATAATGTGCAAGTCTGTCATGCAATGTTGGTTGTGTTTTTTGCATTGAGAAAAACAATGTCATAAAATGAGGAGGCAAAGCGGATGGTTTTAAGAACGATAACAAGAATGATTTGGCCATATTCTTACCATAACAAAGATATATTCATAATAATAGATAAGACCTAAAACAGACACATGCGTCTCAAGCAAGGCCAAGTAGAGGAACCATACCCTTTAACTTACAACAAAGGCAGACACAAACTTCAGTGCAGTTTTATATAAAATCATATAATGATAATGGACAAACAAGTACGACCTTGACTTTTATGTCAGTGACCTGATTATTTTGCCTGACAAGTCACCATCATGTCTTATACATTTATGCCAAGCTATTCAAAAATCCATCCAGGAGTGATAGAATACTTGATGAGACAAAATATAAATGCATTTTTATGAATAATTCATAACAACATATTGGATCTATGTGTGACCTTGACCTTTGAGCTAGTGACTTTATTCTTTTGTGTGACACAATGTCATTATAATAAACATATTTATGTATGGTAATATTTAAACTATCCAGGAAAGACAGAATTGTTGACAAAACATCAGTGAATTTTTGTGAAAAAAATTCTTTGAAGTCAAAAAATGACCTTAACATTTGAGCTACAAATCTTTAATCTTGGATGTGGCAAATATTATTAGTCTCCAGGTCCTACTAAGTTATTCAAAATCCATCCATAAAAGGACAGAGGGATGGAAAAACGGACGCTGCAAAAACAATATGCCTACCCATAAAAGGAGGCATAAAAATGCTTGCAAATTAGCATCCACCAAGCTGAAATATTTTTTCCTGAAGCAATGAGGTTATACTAGAAACAGTGTTCTCTATATCCAATACCCAATAAGTATGCTAATATTTTAAAGTTTAATTAATATAAGCAGGTTTAAACACTATAAAATTTATACTATACTGTTCATATTGGTAAAATGCCAGAAGAACAGTATGAGTACAAAATTTTGTACATGAGAGCGCTTTATTAAATATATAGCACAACAATTGGCAACATTATAAAATACTGGATCGATTGGGTCAGACTAAGAGAGAACGCTGTTTTTTTAAAGTGATGCACAATATAGTACAAGATAGATATACGATATAAAGTCACTTGATCAACAAATGTTACCTACTTCAACAGGCTCTGGGTCGGGTTTAGCCATTCGCTCTTGGTATTCTTTCATTGCCTAAAGTATAAACAAAATGTTATGATTATGCAAGCAAAAACAGTGACTGTACCTTTATGGATTGTTCATCTGCAGAGGCGGAGTCTGAGAAAATCTGGGCCAGCTCTTCATCAATGGAGGGAAGGTCTTCAGCTTTAAGGCGGTCCTAAAATTGGATGGATGGCATGATTTCTTAAGACTGTCATTTTTTTTCTGATGGTGAACAATGCATACATTTTGTTAATGACATGCCTTTGTTAGTCTTAATAATAAATAATAAACTTTTTAACTGTAACAAACATTTTCTAAACATCTAAAAATAGATTGCATATTCTTCCCCATTGGCTGAACAAATACAAAAGTCACATATACAAAGTTGGTATTTTCTAAAAAAATTAAGAATTTATCACTAGTTTAAGACATCAAGATATTTAATTTGTTGCTTTTTTTTATATCAAATATAAAGTAATATTAACAATTTTAATGCCATATGGCGACTGTCCAGCATTTCTAGGAAGATCTCAGGTGCCCTCTATGCATTTTTTCAGGTAGAACCATTAATCTTCAGTAAGTCATCCGAACAACTTCCTCACAAATGAATTTCAGGCCCTGACAGAATTCGAATCAAATGCTGAGAGGCAAGAGGAGCAACTGATTTAAAGCCAGGCACATTAATCATTTGAACTCGCCACCGCAATTTATTGATGCTCAGCTTTTTTGTGTACAAAATTCCTCTAAAATTGAATGACTGAAAAATGTAGGACTAATCATGACAGAATACGAGATGAAAAAAACTGCCACCTGCAAAAAATAATAATATTGTTTAATCTTAGGTTAACAGATTTATTTATGATCTAAAAGTATTTGACTGATTGAAGATTAATAGAATCTATCATTGGGTTAGATAGAGGATAGGGAAATCCCAACCCGAGGGTGATCGGTTCCATCGGGAACGAGCCTTGGCGAGTTCCCGATGGAACCGATTGCCCGAGGGTTGGGATTTCCCTATCCTCTATCTAACCCAATGGTTGATTATTTTTCTCACTCACCTGAACACACAAATATCAGTGAATCTACTTGCTACGCCCATTACAACGTACCTAGTTTTGAAAAGGGGGCGGGGCTTAGGCGCCTGACTTTCTATGATTAAAAAGCATTATGTACGTGTCCGCAAAATATTGTTCTGACCAAGTTTATGTGTGAAAAATTTAATGAAAATAAATTCATATGAGACCCCTCATGAAAAAGCAAGGTTATCATGATGAAACACATCGATATTAAAAACGGAAAGTGCCAAAATATAAGTGTTTATAAGGAATTCAGTCCATACTTCAATGGTTGACAAAAAAGCGTTTACCGTTTGCAAAGGTTTTTCTACTTTTTCGGTTATTTTGGCCGAATATTCAATTAAAATATATCAAAATGAGATTCGTCATCAAAAGGCATCGTTATCATAACAAAAAACATGAACGTTTTTCAGGCAAAGTGTCATAATATCCGATTTTACGAAGAACGTTTCGATAGTTTAAAGTGTGTTATTTTTAGTAACAGATCGTTATTGGAAAGGGCGGATCTAGGTAGAGTAGGACTCATTGCAGTGTGAAAGTTAATATCAATCTATTTTGATTCCGTAGACAATTTAATAGATTAGCTTACAAATTTTTAATACATTTTGACGTTTAATTTTTGTTAAAATAGGAGTGAATCGCGTATTATTTAGAACTGCTGCACGTTGAGTGTGAGATAAGCCCATGTGAGATAAGATTTTCCAACACCGCTATTTTTAGTAACATTTAAGGATTTTTCTATCTGGTTAGTGAGAAATATGAATAAAATCTTTAGAAAGATAACACATCTAAATCACAATTACACATCTTTTTTGGTTAAAAAAAATCATACTTGTGCAAAGAAATAAATTCTTATACAGAAATTCTTAGTAAATCAACTGAAGATTAACCATATCCAGTACACAATTTTAGAGATTAAACTACTATAACACTTAATTGAACATTCAATTAAACAATACACATAACAAGAAAAAAATCCATGACAAAAATCTTGTATCACCTGAATATACATGGTGTTGTATATTATTTTTTTATTCAAGAAAAGGCATTATTGCAAACTAAATTATCACAAACCAAATTATTTAGAAAGTTTACGTCATTCAGCCTTTGAATATAAAGGTAAATATGGAAACACTTTTACAGAAAATTCATTTTCATCAAACACATTGTGAGCAGCAACTAGTATATACAAGAAGTTTAGTGTTAAACTTTGTTGCTTACATGTGCACATATTGTGTATTACATGTGTAGTTTATTACACTGTATTGCACAGCCTATTGTTGTTTTTACCCAGTATGCTGAAAACTAAATGTAGATCAGGGCTTCCATTAAGTTCCAAAATTTGAAAGTCAGACACTGCAAAATCTCTGATATTAGAAGTCACATTAAATAGGTAAAGAAGGAAAAGTATTAGATTTTGGAAGTCACAAGCCAAAATCAGGCAGTAAATGACTGCCAAACTTCCATTTCGCCCTGATGTAGATCCAGTTTTTTTCTAACAAGAAGTGAAAATGGCCCTTCCTTTAAAGAGCACCCTTCCTTTAAATAACACAAAATTTTTGCAAATATATAGGGAAGAAATTGAAATTGTATTTCAGGGAATGACTGCATGAGAGAAAGACCCTGAAAAACTTGGAATCTTATGTAAAGATTTCAAAGCCGGTTAGCATTTTTAATTTTAATTTTGTTATCAACATTTTCTGACCAGATTGCACTGGACATTTCCGGTATTTACAGTTTTATGAAAATTGATTGAATGGCTATCAGATTATATATAGTCACTAGTTGACCAGACCTGTTTTACACAAAAGAACACATAGTTTTATTTGTGATACTGATGTGAAGAATTGACCAAGAATTGAATAGATAAGGTGGGGCTAAACTTTTCACTCAATTATGTGAAAAAACAGAAAACTTGATATGCAATAAGTATATATATATATGTTAAAAACAATGAGAAGTTCTGCACTTGAGATAACCTTATACTGCAAATAATTTAAACAATGTAAAAGCTGTTTTTACAGTTGACTTTAGACAGATCTTAATACTGATTTGTTGAAAGTTTGCGCATTTTACCATCCAGACCAATCCCTTACCTCTTCTGGCATTTCCTTTATAGCGTCCTCTATTGCATCAATAGCTTCCTTGAAGCCTTTTGGCACACGTGATCGCAGCAAAAACTTTTCTTTGTTCCCGATGTAGGCATGCACTTGTTCATGCGGCAACCAAGCACTACAAAACATCATTGATATTCATCACATGAACTTATTTTCTATATTTTCAATGTGTTATATAAATTTCAAATAAACAAATTAATTATTTTACTTGTTTTTGCAACAATACACACTCACCTTCCAATCAATTAGGAAATCTTAAGACTATTAAACTTTGAAAAACAAAATCTACTGAAAAAAAACATGCACAAACGTCAGCTTTCCAAATGATAGTAAACTTGGGTGACTATAATAGATAAAAAAAATGAACAGATACAGTATAACCAGTTGTTTGAGCAATACTGCCAGTCTGCCATATGGCTATTTACTGTTACAGTAGCCACTTTTTAATGTTTGGTAATTACAGATATCTTAAAGTAATTTAACATAGATATATCACACTTACTAGTTTTCAGAACCAAAGAAGTAAATGCAATGGTGAAGCTTATCTTTTTTAGGCTTTTTTATCTCTGGCTTCGCCTCTATAATCTAAAAGAATTAAGAAAAATATACATAATGTAGAGACAGCAATTGCAAAAACTTGTTAGGACAATGCATTAGCTAGGTATGTGTGGAAATTATTTGTCAGAAATATATATAAAACTATTTACAGCATAAGGCTGATAAGCTGTTAATTATAATAAGAAAACATTCAAACATTATAATAAGCAGCAGTACAAATTATAATTTTCAAATTCCTTTAAGTCTCACAAATATTATTTATTAAGTTTTAATAGATGGCATGAATATTAAATCTTTGATGTCAGTGATTTTCCTACTTATATATCAGACTCCGAAAAAAGGCCTCTTCCCAATTGAAATTTTCTTTAAAATCATGCAGTTTTCCCAAAAATCTGAACTTAAACCAGCTTTTTTACTTCCCAAATCTGCAGTTTTAGCGATGTTTTTTCCCAAAATTAAGAGGCTAAGGCCTCTTCCCAATTAAGTGAGAAAAATCACTGGATGTAGAACTATTCTTAGTCAACAGGCTGGTGAAAACGCCCGATGGGGCTTACAATATAAAAACTCATATATCTCGAAAAACAATAAAAAAATAAATATTTCCCCTTTTTCATGTTTATGTAACACATAAATTTTGCAAAATAAACAAAGTTTAAAAGAAATATCTTTATTGTTTTCTAGATATAAAGAGTTTTATGTCGTAAGCCTGATCGGGCATTTTCATCAGCCTTGTCAAGTTAGTGTTACTTAAACATTTAAACTGATATGCTACTTCTACATGATACTGCTTTAAAATCGTTTACGATCACTCCAAGCAGGTTAACTGCTCTAAACAATCGTGAATCGTTAAAAATAGTACAAAAAAGTATCAATTATGTTCATAAATGAATGCATGAAATGGAATAGCCTCCGCTTATTAAAGATTTCTTTATTAATGTTTACATTACACAACTTTTTTTGTTTTCCATCATAAACTGATTAACAAGGCTTAAACAGTTTAAGATAATTTTGGTTTGCAACCACAAATTTTATGCTACTGAAATTTCTATGCTGATGCCGTTGAGTTCTATCTTAAATAGAACCTTAATTATGGTGCTACATATACAAATGCTCATGTAATTGTTAGTTAAAGATCATAATGGCATTGTGTTGAAAATTCAAAGATTCCATGGTTAGACAGGGTTAACTCCCTTGAACGTCCCATTCAAAATGAACACAAATTCTTACCTTTCCCGGCCATGCAGGAAAGCTCTTCATCTTAGCCCTGAAATTAAAGGAAAACAAATGATTAACTTAATTTTTTTCACATTAAATGTGGCAAACATGTTTTAACTTCAAGGGGAAATAAAGTAAACATACCACACAAGATCGCCGATTTGCAACTTAGACGCCATCTTTGTTTGGCTAGCTAAGGATTGTGGGTCAAGTCACAGGCGCGTGTTTTGAATTTGTTTGTTTGCTCTACCGTACTGTATGCAAATCGGAGACTTGGATAAATACCGTAACGGGAAAGGTACTTTATACCGGGAGATACTTTGTACCGGGAATGTGAAGATATTACAAATAATGCTTTTATGGGTAATTTCTATTGTGAGCAAGTGTTTTTATATATATTTCATAGCAAAATATGTCATATTTCGATGAAAAGTTCTAGTTTTCATAAGCATATCCGCACAAATACTTTTTTTACATATTTAAACCAGTAGCTAGGTATAGTTTTGTTAACCATTTGAACCCAAAACATGACAGTTAATTTTGAATCTGTGTGGAAATGCATGTCAACTTTTTACCCTTTTACTGTGTATTAAATATTGAATAGAACTTTATTTTATTAGCAGTTTTGTTAAAATATATTTTTGAGCCTGCAACATTTCCAATTTTGCATCGGCGGGCCTTCTTTAGGGATTCTGTTTTTCTCTATTTGATTGATTATTAAAAGTAATTCCCGTAACTTTAAAAGTAACTTTATGATAAAAAAGTGAGTCTTGTCTTTATCCATAAAATGACAAGTGGACATTCATGTAATTTTGAGCGCTAGATTTGAAATCTTCACTTTCTTGGTGAGGCCCATGAGGCAGTGGGTCTCTGCAAAATTCATAACAGTTTTATATTGCTAATAGATCAATGTCAGTCAAAAACGGGATTAAAATTAGTCTAAGTAAAAGATAAAAGTAGATATCCGTTGTTTCCACTATTTATTAAAATTCGAGCCTGTTACAAAGCCTGGCATTATCACCAAACCCTAATGATCTAGATACATATCGTGATTTGATTTTATTGGGTAAAAAAGCAAAACAAACAAAAAGGTAAGCTGCAAAGTGATGAATAGATTTTAAAAATTATATCACCAAATATTGCCATGTTAAAATAACGCGATGTACATTAACGGTACTTATGTTTTCTTTTAATCACTTTATCTTTGGTTACCGCAGCCAAATTAATATTCAATAACATGTTTTTTTTAATTATGAACCAATAAATAAAGACAATGTTTTCATTTTAGCAAACGATATGTTTTTTGTTGGGGTTTAAATTACACCAACACAGTAAAGGTCATATGACAACTTTTCAGCTAAATCGATACTGGTGGAGAAAGACTGAAGTGCATTATCTGAGCCGCGTCTTGACAAAACCAACATAGTGCGTTTGCGACCAGCATGGATCCAGACCAGCCTGCGCATCCGCGCATTTTGATCAGGATCCATGCTGTTCGCTTACAAACCGTATAACAAGTAGAGAAACTGATAGCGAACAGCATGGATCCTGATCAGACTGCGCGGATGCGCAGGCTGGTCTGGATCCATGCTGGTCGCAAACACGTTATGTTGGTTTTGTCATGACGCTGCTCATTTCAGCACGAACGGGCACCTGAGTAGAGCCATCGACGTTCAGGATGTTAGCTTCCTCACATGAAAGAATGTAAAGTCGCTCGCACGATTCGAACCAACAGCAGTGAGGGGCATGTGGTGTGAAGTCAACGATCTGAACCACTCGGACACGGACGAAAAAAAAAATGAATATCTAGACAAAACATAATTCTAGTTAATTAAACGCTCGTGCTTGTCCCGTAAGAAAATATTGTTTCAAATATTAAAATATTTCTAAATGCTAGGAAAAAACCGTTTCATGATAGCAATGTAATTGTTTTGATTTGAAGAGAGTAATTGTTTTAAATAAAGTTGTTGCTGTTTGTAAGACAAACTGTTTACATACAAATATAACAGTTAAAGCTGCTTGAATGTCAATTTTGTATATATATATTTTTGATTTATATGAATGATATGGCTGACGCACTAACAAGTGTTACATGGTTATTTGCAGACGACAGCTCATTAGCATGAAAGTACTATATAAACACTGATCTTGAAATCATATCTACCTGGGCAAATCAGTGGTTAATACAATTTAACGCTGCTAAAAATGAAGTTATGGTTTCTTCACTTTCAAAAAAAAAAAAAAAAAAATCGCGACACCCCGGATATTTACTTTCCAAATAATCATCTTAATTTCTTTCATTCTCATTGCTCCGCGCCCACAGGCGCGGAGCTATTTGTGTTTACTATTTTTTTTTGTCCATGGGCTCGGATTTGATCATTTAATCCCTTCGATTTACAGCTAAAAGTAAACCCGCATTCAAGAACTCCTTTCGATTTCTATATTGGTTTCCCCTTCGGTGATTCGCAACATGTCATATTAATGAATCAGAACAGGTAAGCAGTTCTGCTGTACATGAATTCGAAAGCTATAAATAGCTCTAAATGTTCTGATTTTGACACTTAGGTTATACATTTGTTATTTCCCTTTTTTAGTAGTACATGAAATTATAATATGTTACATTTTGAATTTATTTACACACAGCATATCAAGTATACTATTAATGATTGAATTTGTCAATATAAAGAAGATTTCATGAATAAAACTTTAATAATTTTGCTTTTGATAATTATTCTTAATTTATATTTATGATATTAAATGTTTGATAATAACATGTTGATATATTGGTTGTTTTGAAATAATTAAACTTTAGTATATAAAGTAACATTTCATTGGTGGCAGTGATACAGCCTTCAAAGTAAACTCATTAGCCCGCTAATCCAATGGTACGAGACCCGTGATCCGTGTCCGGTGCATGTCAATGATTATTATTCCGAGTGTACGTTTTCACCGTAGGGAACGTGTTACAGTATCGCGTTTTTCGGTTACAGTATAGAATTTTCAAGATGGAGGATTATTTATGGGAAGAGAGGTAGGTGATTTTTATTCCGGTCCATACTATACTAGTAGTTTAGTTTCTAAAAGCTGTTTTTGTGCTTTGCTTGTAAGGAACAGAATCCGGTATCTAGTCATATATTTCTTTAGACCCTGCACCGCAGATTTATCTTTATATTGTCTCATAAATGTGCAGATTTGACGGTTTAAAAATTTGAATCGAGAGACCAACGCATTTTTCTCCCATTCCGACATTATTTAAGCATGCCTAGATAAAGTAAATCTACAAAACGTTAGTCCTTTATGTTTAGAAACGTTTATAAAAGTAAATGACCAGTTGAACTTATTTTTCTGTTGGTAAAATGCGTTTGAAAAAATAAACAATGTTACAGTATAGAGCGAGGTTAATTTTGAGTGTTACAGCATAGACCTAGCGACTTTCATCCAATTTTGTTACAGTTTATACCAAGATTTCTGTTACAGTTTAGATACTTGCCAAATTTCAAACAAAGTTCGAGTATCCATTATTTTTATGAAATAACTCATACCTTTCTATTTAATACATTCTTGAAAGGCTGTATTACTTTTTTTCTTCAGCAGAAAAGTTATAGTTTGCTATTTTTCTTACTTTAAGTTTCAGATTGAGACTTTTTGCAGAATAAGTAATGTCCTAAATAAGGACTGTTTTCACGACAACAAACAGTAACTTTTTATCGAATTGTATTGAGAGAAGAAAGATTATTGCTTGATATCATTACACATTATAATAATGCCTATTGGTAATAAAATAGAGAAAACATAATCCTTAACAGAAGTCCAACACGGAAAACATGAAAATGTTGCAGGCTCAGTTTGATTAAACCTGTTCATGGACGGTAGTGGTAACTGCAAGCTACCGTCACGCCTCCTAGCACCGGCTTCAGCAGAATTCACATTAAACATGAACTGGTTCACTTCAGATTTTTTAACATCTGTGGATGTGTTCATATGGCGGTTATCATGGAACCTTCAATGTGACACGTTATTAACATTCTGTGAAAAGCGGCATATTACCCCCAGGTTAAAAATTGCGTGTGCCCTAAACGAGAATACAATGAGTGAAACTAAACAAAATGAAATTTTGAGAGGGGATCGGAGGTCATGAAGCCTGCATACCATAGATAAGCTGTCAAAAGACACAATTAACAGGCAGGCAATACCCTAAGAATGATTAAACAGTATTTAAGTGAGCAATACTACAACCTTTAATTTTATTTTAAGTTGGAATTTCCATCTACCATAATGTATTTTGTAAGTATTTAAAAGGGTTTATGAATATTTTCAATTTTGTTGTGTTGGAATTTCTTTAGGGATTCTGTTTAACTCTATTTTGTTACGTTTGGCTTTCTTGGATTTTAAGTTTCAACGACACTGAAGTCATGTGAAAACATTTCTGCTTTAGTGTAAAGAAAGACCCCAGATACCCTTTGTGAAACATTAAAGACACGAGCGGGCACCTGACTAGAACCACCGATCTTCCGTAAATTAGCTTGATAGATTCCTCACATACAAAGAATCCAAAGTCATGATTGGATTTCAAATACAGCAGTAAATGAAAGATGATTTGAAGTCGAAGGCTTTATCCCGACTCTGCCACTATTATGTACCTCCACCAGGCTCACTAGAGAAAATATTGTAATTGTCTGACCTTAATTTATACTCTTTAATTTTCTTTTTCAGAAAATTGAAAACTGCTATACAGGATGTCTGAAATAAAGAAAAACGACTTTTAATTTAATAATGACAAAATAATCGTAACTTCAACAAAGAAGCATTTGAAATGACGCCAAGATCATGATTTGATTTGAATGCTTTTGGTTCGAGATGAGAAGGGTCTTTAAACATTGCCTTTTTTCAAAATCTATGTTTTGGGTTTTCGTATCCCCGATTGCAACCGAAACCATTTGAACAACTTAATTGGTAGAAAGTCATGTAAATTTCATCACATTTAGTCAAGTAGTTACTGAGCGGATGAGATTGCACACACATATGTACGACAGACGGACGAATAGCCATCGGGCCAATAAGCTCACAGAGATTTAAAAGTCTATGTAACATTCAAACATTTTACCAAGTATATATAGAAAATATCGAAGTCTATAACTGTAACCGAAATCTGGGTATAAAAACTGTAACAAAATAGGATACAAATCGCTAGGTCTATGCTGTAACCCTGCACAAATTAC